GTAATAATGCATATTCCACCAGTGATTGGTGGCTGCTCAAATGCTCGTTTGGGAAGTGTATAGGATATCTTTTATTTTTTTCTCCCTTATATTACATATTTCTCCCTTAAAGAAAATAATCCAAACTCATATAATTACACCAAGTGCATATCCACTGTACTCACCTTGATCTGCAGTCGCCAATGCAAGCATACAGATGATCAGAACTATGACCATTATGCATCGTGCTGTATTGGGTTTTATATATTTGTTCTATAAACATGGAAGTATCGTTCGTGTTATAACATTATTATGATGCATAGCAATAATAATAATAATAATAATAATAATAATAATAATAATAATAATAATAATATTTTTTTCTTTTTCAGAAAAAAAATAGGATAATCACATATAAATTTCATTGAACCAGATAATTTTCAATCGTTATGAGGATATAGTACATCATAATAGAAACGATCTCAATTATTAATAAATACAATATTTTATTCATATTGAATCAATACAAATGAAAATCCATTGTTCGTAAAATAAACCTAAAAATGCGCTAACGAATTTGTGTTCTAATCAAGTGTCTTACCTTCATATTTTTCTAATTATTGAAATTTTTTCTGCTTGTTTTCACCTATTGAAATGATTCATACAAATACATTATTTACATCACATCAAAATACGAAATCGATAACAAAAGGAGAAATTATAATTATAAATATTTCTTGCTATATGATAAGAATAACATGTCAAAAATAGAGAACTTTTTAGAGCCAGGTCAATTTTAATATATAAAGTTGATACCAGAATAGCAACCATAATTTTAATAATATGTTATTATGTTATGGTTTGTTTATTTCTGAAAAAAAAAACATAAAGCAAATCACCATATGCCATTGTCACATCAGCAATATTTTGCTTCGAACAATGTTTTTTCAGATTCATGGCACTTTAATGGCTAACACTACCACAACACCCTCTAAACTCCGGTACAACGCACACCCCAATTAAACATGTCAACATCATTTCATTTGCCAGAGATTTTGTTTTATTCACAGAGTGCGTTGCATTAAGGTAGAGATTGTATGAATTTTTAAATTTTGTTATTATTTTTTACACAAAAATGTGATTTTTTGGGCAAAATCGATTTAAAAAAATAGCTTCTAAACCATGCTTCTGTTTTCTGTCAAAATTGGTTTACGGGTACATCTGTTTACATCTGAAGAATGCGCTGTCTTGAAAACTGTCTACCAGTTGTCAATTTTGCAGGGCATCAGCTCAAATGTCACTACTTCAACTTTATGCATAAATTAAAACCCAGACTAGTTGTCGGCACAATTGTTGTAACACTGTTCAGCCAAAACAATGCCCGGACGGCGTTTTGAAGATAAACACATTGTCAATCATTTGTTTCAAAATTTCAAAACTAAGGTCAAAGCGTCTAAGAGCAATTTTTTAAAGTTCTGGGATTTGCACTAAAAAGAAGCTGAGATAATTGCTAATTTGCATAACAATTTACTCCAAATTTAAATGTATTATCGTTTCGTTAAAAGTTAAATGTAGTGCATAATATGGAGATCCCGTCATTTCTTTTTTTCACCATATTTCTTTTTTATCGTTTGTGAACAGCCTTGCTAAATGTTGCTAAATATTCAAAAAAGAGAATGTTTGCACCTGTTATCTATATTTTAAAATCGTCTTTTGAGTATGTTCCACTATTCACAATTCTACAAAATGTTAATAGTCTATAGCCAAGACTGTTTGGATAATAAAAAGCAAAAAAAAAAATTCACTCCCAAGTGCCCACAAATCTGCATCTCTACCTTAAGCAGTACGTACATGTATTAAAATGGCTGTAACAAAATCCGACACAGTAAGCCAGGATGAAGTAAATTGCTTTGATTAAAACAAGAGAGTTTATCGTATTGCAGGAGTTTAAAATTAAATTTATTTATTTGTTTGTTTGTTTGTTTGTTTTGTTTATTTATTTGTTTATTTATTTATTTATTTATTTATTTATTTATTTATTTATTTATTTATTTATTTATTTATTTATTTATTTATTTATTTATTTATTTATTTATTTATTTATTTATTTATTTATTTAATTATTTATTTATTTATTAATTAATTTATTTATTTATTTAACAAAATCCGATTTATTTATTAAACAAAATCCGACACAGTAAGCCAGGATGAAGTAAATTGCGTTGATTAAAACAAGAGAGATTGTCGTATTGCATGCATCACCTGTTGTACCACAATAATCGTCTGTTATTAAGTACTTCACTTTGATGTCTCCGACCATAATGTTTTCACACCATCTACCGAATAATTATAAATTATACCTAAACGGAACGAATCTAACAAAATACAAACTGATGGCGGGTTTGATAATACACACTTGATGGTTTTAATGCTTTTAACCAATTATAGCAGGCGTAACAGCAGTGAGATGTGATATTCAAATAATGTTTGTGAGGGTAATATCACACTAATGGACTGTACAAACTATAAAATGAATTGAACGAGTGTCAAAAAACCTGAATTAAAAAGCTACCAAACATATCTTGCAAGATGCAATGTATTATTCTATTAAATAATTCAACAGTCATATTAGCTTATCTCCCTAATGACGAGTTGTTAAAAGTAGCATTGCTATAGATTTTGTGCGTGTGTCACATTCAATTACGTCAGAAATATATACGGACGTCAACGGTTCATGATACGGACGTCAACGCTTCATATATATCGCATTTGTACGAAGCGAACGTTTACAGAATTTCACGGTGTTATGCTTCGAGCGTCTACCTGCAAAATCACACTGTATCAAGGTGAGGATAGTTCAGTTGTTTTACCCATATTAAACAGGGACCAACATGGCAGCCAAATATTGCGTATTCAGACAAAACTAATACAACATGCAATTGTAGGTGCACAAAATAAGGAATACATGTATGCGATAATAGTCGTATTTATATACGGGTATTTTGGAAATGGTCAATCAATATAAGTACAAGTTGTATGTGCATTCTCGTTGACTATCTTTCTATTATATATATCTACGGACATACCATGATAATCAAACGTTTGTGCGAACTACATCACTGTTATTTTACCAAGAAAAATACATCACCTTGAAATCTAACAAAACGATAATTACAAAATGGGGTGTGTTATTGAATAACAGTAGTTAATATTTCTACATACAAATCATTATAGCTGTATATGTTCTTGAGTTGATCGTAGTACACAGTTTTGCTGAGTAACTTTACCGTAAAATCGTTTTGAAAGGTGAATGAATTTGTTACAATATCTTATAAATCAATACAACACTTTATTAAGCAAAAATATAGGCCAATTTCTGAGTTGTGTCAAATAATAAAACAATATCAAATATCTCACATCACTTACTAATCCGGCTGATTTGCCCAATAGTTCATTTTTTCGTCGATAACAATTACACAATTTATGCTGACAATTGTTTGCAGAACAGTGTCTTCAAATAAGTTATATATATATATTGTCTGGAATGACGTATTCTTGAAGTCGTGATTACACGCATAGTTGTCGCAATACTCGTACAGAAATACTGGAGATCATTTATAGTTATACCACGCCATCAATATTAGTCATTCGATGTTAGTATTGGCATGTGGCGTTTTGCCCATGCACTGATACGTTGAAAAATAATTTACATAAACTTCAAGGCTACGTGAGTGAAAGCACCATCCCATAAACAGAAAGAATATTATTGTTAGGATACATACTATCAATAAGCACACACAATAAAATTAAACTTCAGATCAAACACCAATATAGTACCTGCACAATCTAATTTGTCAAAGTGTCACCAGTGTTTGAATATGATTGCGTCAAACATTTTGGTTTTTGAAGTCCATGGTCATAACCATACTAAATAATTACGTCAAAACAGAATAAATATTCGCCAATATGCTTCATTTTATAACGGGACCTGATTACCATTGATGTAGTTTCACTGGGATATTGTATTTGTAATTGTAAAAAGTGTTCTACATGTATATCTTTATTTAATTTGACCATTGAGATCGATTTGCATCCGGGTTATTAGGCAATATGAAAAATAAATAATAGTCTAATATTATAAGAGAAATATACCAAAGCAGCTCTGGCAGATGTCACGACTCTCACGTTAGGTCCAATACTTATCAGGCATGGTACATTTGACTATGACACAGGTACAGCTGGTATAATATGTTTAGTTGACAATACTTACTTATAACTGACATATTTTTTACGGTATGCATATGCTAGGTATTCTTTCACGCATTTGACGTAGGTATATAATGCGCAAGTGTATATATAACTTTACGTTCCACCTAAATCATATTTGTTTTGCACTTTTTTTTCATCGATGGAACTATTGCGAACGTCAAATAAGTGTTAAGTCATTAAAGACGAACAGTTTGGCATGTCCAGTATATAGACAGAAGACAGAAGCGATTTGTATGTTGGTGGAATATAAGCAAAACCCTTCAAGCATTATTGGTAACACATATAGCAAAATTTGGTAAGTGGCATGACATACCTTGATACCGTTGTGTGTGTTTCTTTTTACCAATGATTAACACTGGCAGGCTGGTAGCGTGACAGGAGAATACTCTTATATACACAGCTGATAGCGTGTATAGTTTAACAACTTATCCCTAACAACATAACCCGTGGATTAAACAAGTCGTTAGAAAACAAAAATGTTGGAATAATTTAAGTAAACGATAGTGCAATAGGCGTATATATATAAATATAAAGTAGCATTAGCTGAAACAAATATATGACAAAAAATAGTAATGTTTAATGAAAACCATATTGCCTGATTACATAAATCAACATATGATTGAAAAGCGTTGTTGTAAAATTACGCGAGCGCCGGTTCGAGTCACGCACGCAGTACGTGTTTACTATAATTAGACATAGTCTTTACCTTGCCGTTTATTCGGTGTTATTTGCTTACTTTACTTCCTATGTCGACAGCAACTATGAGTTGTAAAATTAAGCTTTCTCTGGCATTTTTTTTTTGCACTTCGAGATATTTGTTATTCTTATAGTGGATTGGTTGATACAATACACGTGGTGCCATTGCCATTCACAGTCGACTTCATTATACTGCTATCAAATGTCGTCACTCGTATCAATCAGCTCCACAGACAAGCACTAATTATATGCATAAGATAATATCACATTACTAGTTTT